TCATCCTTGGCCTCTCCTTTTTCCATTGGATTGTGTTTCTCAAACAACTTGTCTCCGACTAGGTCGAATGTAATCTGAAATGTGAACGCAAAGATAAATCTGGCCTAGGATCAACAATCCACAATCAATCGCGTCAGCCGTCCGGCCAACTGTCCAGTAGAGCGAGGTGGTGGAGGGAGTAAAAAGTCGTATGTGGTATACCTTATGCTTGGTGGAGTCGAGACCTTCGGCTACGAATTCCTTGCCAAGTTCGACGTCTTTGTAGTGGACGTCCTTCTTCGAGGTAAGGTTCGAGTAGTCGAATTTGCCGGGTTTGTCGCTCTTCGTGAACTCCTTCTTGAATGTGGCGAATGTGACGAGTTTTCGAGTGAACCAGCCATATCCTGAAATAGAAGATTTCACAAATAAGACTTCCAAGTTTCAGAAGAATACTAATTTCTTTTAGAACTCACCTTTAGCCTCCAAATACTCGTCGAAGTTCTCCGAGTGATCGAGGTCGAACTTTCCGTAGTACTTGTCGGGCAGGTCCTTGGCACTGACCAGCGCAGCTAGGCCAACGAGAGCAAGCACGAATAAGCAGTTCATCACCAACACCGATCTCGACTGACTCGAAAACAGAACTGAGCACCGCACCGCCTCTATTAAACAGCCCAGAGGTCAGCAGGCGCGAAAACGTGACCTGCCAACCAATTCACTATGGATGATCTAATGTCTCTTATGACTCAACCTTAGCCTGAGGTACCAATGCGTCGTAGATGAGATATAGCTAGTTGTAAAGCAATTAGAATGTGTTTTTGAGGTGGTGGGGGCTGAAGCCACAGTGTAGCCGGACGAAATTTAATGGTGTGCCAGGTACTCGGAAACAGTTTATGCTTGTTGCATAAATCACTGAGTCTACTTTTTACAGTTTCTTCCCAAGCTATCAATCATCGAATAATTTCTCATGAACGAGCTTACATGGCTACAATGTGCCGCAAACTTTGTCAATTGTCATGAAGTCCCATGGCTATGCAGTAGTTTAA